TTTCGTGAGATACTGTACTGTCATGTAGTGTAGCGGCAATTTAGTACTTTGATAATTCTTTCTTTAATTATAATTTGTATTGAACTATTATTACTGTGCTAGGCTGACCTAATTATATTTTTGGGAAAATTGGCCCGATATATCGATGTTTTTTTCGCGATATATCGAAGCCGATATTGATATTTTTTAAAATATCGATGTATCGATATATCGATATTTTTTTCAACTTTCGACATTCCTATAAGAAATAAAGGTTGACTGCTCGTTACCCATAGGTGATAATATGTAGCCTATATGTTGACCCGACTTCTTAATAATATTCGTGCCAAAGGACAATGGGCACACACCCAGCACCGCCAACAATGTATGTAATCGATAGATCTATGAGAAACTAGCCTTTTTTATTATTCCACAGTAAAAAAATATCCTGGGAGTCAAAAGATATGACACCTTAAAAATATCCTGGTAGTCAAAAGATATGACACATGGCCATATTTAAGTAGCTAAATAAATTAATTTTATAGTACCTTTATTTTATATTATTAGTAACCATAATAATATGCCCTATCGTACTATACAACCAGATATACTCGTACGACAAAGCCTGCCGACCATCCTGCGCTTGCTCTTTCTGAAACACCTCAAAACGGTTTACTGGAGTTGAAGGACTTACAGTTGCAAATAGTCGACTCGTCTTACTTCGTTGTAATTGTGCGCAAAAAGATTTATGGATTTACTCTAGCGCGGCAGAATAACATAAGGGGCACCCTTGAACCTTGTGAAGTACTCCCATAATACTTGAGCCCCCTATAGTCGAACTAAATAACTAAATTAATTCCCTTGTTTCATTAATGTTCGTTTATTATAGTACTTCTGCCTATTTAACTTTAAATAACTTAAGCCTCCCGGGATGGAATTTGATGCGCTTTGGCACAGGTGATCATGACTATAATACCTTTCAAACAAGTGTACTTAGTTTAAGCCGTGACGGACGTGGGTGCAGCGTCCATACATTTTTGCCCAATGTCCTTTAAAGTAAATCCATGCAGTACTTTATGAGTTTACCCCGGACATACATACAGACAAACAGACAAAAATTCTAGAAACTATATTTTTGGCTTCGGTATCGATTGCAGATCACACCCCAATTATACTTTTAAAAAAATATTCAATGTACAGTTTTGACTTTCCTACCATTTTATTATATGTGTAGACAACATATTTACTTAAAATTAAAGTAATTTATCTGTAGGACACTGCAAACAATTTGAAGAGAAAGTTAATGAAGTTCATACAATGTGTACGCCATAATGTAATTCGTGAAACGAAATTTTCAAACAATACCACCAAATCCAGAGGGTATAAATAAATAAATAAATAGGGTATTTGACAAGTTTTAGAAAACGATCTCACGTTATTTACTAATGTTTATGGAGTCCGTAAAAAGTGGATATTCATCATTATGTTGTGTATTTCGGTAAAGAAACTAAATCAAAAAGTCTATTTTCAAGTTGCCGCGAAAAATGTATCTCTGGACAATATGGCGTCTCACTGGTGTGTGACGTCACACGACTGTCATTAAAACGTCAAACCATACAATCTAATGTCACTTTAACCGGAAGTTTACTTGCGTGTGACGTCATTTTAGGCTCCACCAATCCAAAGCGTTTTGGGGTACGTGACAATAGACAAGAAAACTATTATCTTTATCGTGGGTTTTTAGTAAAATTAGGAATATTTTTTCTGTAAAAATAGTAAAAACTCCTGCCAATAATCATTCTAAATACAGATGCTAACAATTGGCACTTTATTTTTAATACTGTCAAATACCCTATTGAAATTATTATCTTATATAAGTAATAATAATAGGGGTATAAGGGGTGCCGCCTAACACCCAACGGCACCCAAGCCAACCTCACCTGCCCGCGGTGTACCCTGCCGACCAACGGACGAGGCTCTGGCGCTCCCCACCAACCCGCACTGGGCCAGCGTGGTGGGAGACGGCCCAAAACCCCCCCTAAAATGATAGTACATAAGAAGAGGCCCCAAGTGCCCGGCGGTGCTGGAGTCTGTGGCGGCGCTGACGGACGCCGACTCGGCGCCGGGACCAGGGGTGCGAAGAATCCCCGGGCGGCAAAAATCCCCCGTCAAACGACCTTGGCCCTGGCAACGTACAACGCACGCACACTACGGACCGAGGAGAAGCTGCTGGAACTGGAGGAAGAATTGAGCAGGATTCGCTGGAGTATTGTAGGACTATCTGAAGTCCGAAGAGAGGGCGAGGACACGATGGTCCTTAAATCCGGCAACCTGCTCTATTTTCGGGAGGGCGAAGATCTGTCCCAGGGTGGTGTCGGGTTTGTTGTCCACAAGTCTCTCGTGAACAATGTTGTACAGATCGGTAGTGTGTCGAATAGGGTGGCGTACCTTATACTCAGAATCACCAAACGGTATTCGTTGAAGGTCATACAGGTATACGCTCCGACCTCGACGCACCCCGACGAGGAAGTGGAAGTCATGTATGAGGATATTTCTCGGGCAATGCATGCTTCCAGGACCCATTACACCGTTGTCATGGGGGACTTCAACGCAAGGCTGGGCAAACGTGGCGATGATGAGTTGAAAGTGGGGCAATTTGGAGTTGGAATCCGGAACTTCCGAGGTCAAATGCTAGCCGATTACATGGAGAAGGAGGGACTCTTTATGATGAACTCCTTCTTCAGAAAACGGCTGCATCGAAAATGGACCTGGAAAAGTCCGGATGGCGTGACAAAAAATGAGATTGACTTCATCATGTCGACTAAGACTCGGATATTCAATGATGTCTCAGTGATCAATTCGTTCAATACGGGAAGCGATCACCGAATGGTAAGAGGCACATTGAATCTAAATGTCAAAGCCGAAAGGAATCGACTGATGAAGTCCACGCTCCGTCCTGAAGCCATCCAGATCCAAAACCCCGAGCGCTTTCAACTCGAACTGCAAAATCGCTTCGATTGCCTAGAGAGCTACGTAGACGTGGACAATTATAATGACAGGTTTGTTGAAGCTGTCCTTACGGTGGGCTCGAAGTTCTGCAAGCCCATCCGTACCAAAAAACGTAGCAAGATCTCGGAGCCGACTCTCAAGCTCATGGAGAAAAGGCGTGAGATGGGTCTGCAGTCCTCTGAAGATGCACGTCGGCAGCTCAATAGGCAGATTTCGAAGTCTCTGACTCGCGATATACGCCGCTTTAATACTGATCGTATTAAAGAGGCCATCGAGCGGAACAAAGGCTCGAAAGTGTTCGCAAGAAATCTGTCTCTTGGACAGAGTTTGCTGACGAAGCTGAAGACAGAGGACGGCAGAATCATTTCGTCGCAACCTGAGCTTATGGCTGAGATCGAAAGCTTCTACGGACAGCTATACACGACATCACGAGTACCTGTCACAAAGGCGACCGACCCAAGAGCCAAATTAACCCGACACTACACCGAAGATATCCCGGACGTCAGCCTGTACGAGATTAGTGTAGCTCTGAAACAGCTCAAAAACAATAAGGCGCCGGGTGATGACGGAGTTACAGCCGAGCTTCTGAAAGCAGGTGGACGACCAGTCTTGAAATCTCTTCAGAAGCTATTTAACTCTGTCATACTCGAGGGCAGAACGCCTAGCGCATGGCATAGGGGAGTGGTGGCGCTTTTCTTCAAGAAGGGCGACAGGGCCCAATTGAAGAATTACAGACCCATCACGCTCCTGAGTCATGTATACAAGCTGTTTTCGAGAGTCCTCACGAATCGTCTCGCGCGCAGGTTTGACGACTTCCAGCCTCCCGAACAAGCCGGATTCCGAAAAGGGTTTAGTACCGTAGACCACATCCATACGCTGCGGCAGGTTATACAGAAGACCGAAGAGTATAACCTGCCATTATGCTTGGCGTTTGTGGACTACGAGAAAGCCTTCGATTCGATCGAGACATGGGCCGTGCTTCGGTCACTCCAAAGGTGCCAAATAGACTATCGATACATCGAAGTGTTGCAGTCGTTGTATGAAAACGCCACTATGTCAGTTCGACTCCGGGACCAAAGCACGAAGCCAATCCAGCTACAGCGTGGTGTAAGACAGGGTGACGTTATATCACCGAAACTGTTTACAGCTGCGCTGGAAGACGTTTTCAAACTTTTGGACTGGAGCGGACTTGGCATCAACATAAACGGCGAGTACATGACGCACCTTCGATTTGCAGATGATATCGTAGTCATGGCTGAGACCATGGATGACCTTGGCACAATGCTCGGCGACCTCAGTAGGGTGTCCCAACAAGTGGGTCTCAAAATGAACATGGACAAGACGAAAATCATGTCGAATTCCCATGTCGTACCCACTCCAGTGACTGTTGGGAGCTCTACACTGGAAGCTGTTGACCAGTACGTATACCTGGGACAAATAGTCCAACTGGGTAAGTCCAACTTCCAGAAAGAGGTTAATCGACGAATCCAACTCGGCTGGGCAGCGTTCGGGAAGCTACGTAGCATCTTCTCGGAACATCTACCGCAGTGCCTCAAGACGAAAGTCTTCAATTCGTGCGTGTTGCCAGTGATGACATATGGAACCGAGACGTGGCCGCTTACAATGGGTCTTGTAAGAAGGCTCAAAGTCACCCAAAGGGCAATGGAGAGGGCTATGCTCGGAGTTTCTCTGCGTGATCGAATCAGAAATGAGGAGATACGCAAGAGAACTAAAGTCACCGACATAGCCCACAGAATTGCAAACCTTAAGTGGCAATGGGCAGGGCACATTGCTCGCAGGACCGATGGCCGCTGGGGCGGAAAGGTCCTCGAGTGGCGACCGCGTACCGGGAAACGCAGTGTTGGCAGGCCCCCCACAAGGTGGACCGACGATCTGGTAAAGGTCGCGGGAAGCCGCTGGATGCGGGCAGCATGGGACCGATCGCTGTGGAAATCCATGGGGGAGGCCTATGTCCAACAGTGGACGTCTTTCGGCTGATGATGATGATGATGATATAAGTAATGTCTAAATTTATACAAAATTGACATTAATAATTATGTCATAATGATAACATTTTTTCTCATCATCATACAAAGGATTTATTTATAGTATAAATATTAAGTTATCAAAGCAATATGAAAATTTGACAATGATAAACAAACTGATATTGCTTTGATGACTAGACTATATTTGGGGGCACAGTAGTGCTGCCGCCAAGACGACAAGACGAGCCAAGCGAAGCGCAAGGGCACTATAATGCGATTCAACTAAGAATAGGACCGACAGGGCGCCATATTATGACGTCATGGCTGTCAGTTCAAACCAAATAGGTAGAGTGAGCAAAAATGTTGCTATTTAATAAAACTTATTTACTAAGATTAAGTGAGAGAAAACATCAGATTTTTTAATAAAATTAATTTACTAAGGTTAAGAAAGAACACAACCGATTTTTAATAGTATTTCTTTATTAAGACTGTGTGAAAAAACACTAATCACAATCTAGCTCTTCAATTTCGCTCATCTCTCCATTACCGCCGGAGAAGTTATGAATGATCATGCAGGTCACATACGAACATGCATGAACATCTTATATGTAAACGAAAGTTTTAAATTGAGTTTTTGAACGCAACATAAAGTGACATTTGGTTGACGATTTAGTATTCATAGCCAAAGCTCAATAAATGAAAATAAAAACAACTAATATTAATTATCAACATTTGTTATTGTTTGTTTAAAAATGTTTGGTTTTTGTTCTAGAATCAGCTAAGTGCTAAAAAAGTGTTCCGAGATTTTTTGCAAACCGTACTTTTCAAGCGACATTTGACAGATGGAGGTCATTGGCTTTCCTATTCTTATTTGAATCGCATTATACCTTACTTTTTCTCTAAGCGCTTTGACGTTTTTTGAATCCCTAGAACTTAAGTTTGGATTATACCAGATAAAAATAAATTCCGGGATATGTTTCTTTAGATTTTTTTGATATCTATTAAAACCTTGATTTCGTCACTGACTCACTGATGAGGATCAAAATTCTCAGGGTCACACACAATCTATAGAAATTCTCTCAGTCGAGTGGTTTTATCAAAATTTCGGGCTGGTCCTTCGAGACGTATCCAACGGCCACCTCACTGCGAATTACAATCGGGGTGGTACTTCTTCAAATGGCCTTGCAAGCTGCATTTCTGTATAAAAGTTTGCCCGCAAACGCCACAAGCGAACCGCCTATCGTTATTATGTGTTCTCATGTGCTCCTCCAAAGTCTTCTTCCTGACAAACGACTTCTTGCACACATCGCATTCGAATATCTTATCGCCGTCATGTCTGACCATGTGCAACTTTAAAGCGTTGTTATTGAAACCTTTATACGAGCACAGGTTGCATTGGTAGTTCCTTTCCTCTAAATGGTAGCGTCTCATATGATTGGAAAGATTGTGTCTTCTATCGAAACATTTGTCGCACAAGGTGCAATTGTACAGCGACGGCGTCACACCATGTTGTTGCACCATATGTCTATGCCTCTTAATATATTCCGTGAATCTCTCCGAACATTTAGTGCACTTGAAACGTTTCGCCATATTGTGTACTGTGGCAACGTGGTTATTTCGTTTCGGCAAAGTTGTGAACACCTTCTTACAAATCTCGCAAGTGTAACTGCCCTCTATATGCTTGTTCTTGACGTGCATGTTCAATCGTTGCTGTGTCACGAAACCGGTTCCGCATTCTTTGCAGACGTAATTTCCGAAGTGACTGTTCATATGGCGCTCTACGGAAACAAAGGTGTCGAAGTTAAAACCGCACATTTGACACTCGTAAACGTAATCCGGTGTCAGTTTGAACGGTATCACTCTGTCGCCGTATTCCAAATGCATTCTCTTCTTGTGGTCTTTGCTTAAATGTGTTTTCAATTCGTTGAAGTTCGGAATGTTAGTGTTACATATCGTGCAGCACAAATTAGTGATGTCAGCGTATACGACGAAATATTTGACGCCGTATCTGCGTAGAGCCTTTTTGATTTCAGTCTGTTTATGTATGGTGGTGTGCTCCTTAAATTGATCCAAGTTGTCGAACAAGTCTCTGCAGTAGAAACACGATAGAAGATTACTGCCCCTGAACGGTGTAATGTTGGAGTATTGTAGGAGGGTCAAGGCGTTGATTATGTGAGCTGTTTTCTCTTTGACGACCACTTTTTTGTGGTGCAGTTTCGGTTTGATTGTATTGTCTTTGATAGGTTTCGTTATTGTGGTAGCCGAGACAGTGATACCTGTGCAAATATTGTATTGTTTAGTATTAAACATTTTTAACAATCGTAAAATAGAGACTATGGTAGTTTACCGATCGCCGGCGAGAAAGCGACTTATTATTGGCTATCGAAAAAAGTGCCTTTTTTAACACAGGGCATTGGTAAGTGAAAAAGGGGATTTAGGGTGAGAAGGGGATTCGAGGGTGAAAAGAGATATTGGAGGGTGAAAAGGGGATGCGAGGGTGAAAAGAGATATTGAAGGGTGAAAAGGGGATGCGAGGGTGAAAAGAGGTATTGGAAGGTAAAATGTGGATTCGAGTGTGAAAAGGGGATGCGAGGGTGAAAAGAGGGATTGAAGGGTGAAATGTGGATTCCAGGGTAAAAAGAGGGATTGGAGGGTGCTTAGTAGATTCGAGGGTGGAAAGTGGATTGGAGGGTGAAATGTAGATTCAAGAGTGAAAAGGGGATGCGAGGGTGAAAAGAGGGATTGGAGGGTGCAAAGAGGATTCGAGGGTAGAAAAGGGATTCGAGGGTGAACAGGGGATTTGAGGGTGAAAAGGGGATTGGAGGCTAAAAGGATTTCGAGGGTGATAAGGGGGATTAGTGGGTGCTAATAAAGGATTGGTGGGTGATAGTTAGGGTTAAGGAGTGGGGTGGGTCTGGGGACAAATATGTTTACTATATTTTCACACATTTCATAATAAGTTTTATAAATCCAAAGAAAATACGTATCGAGCATCAGACGGAATTGTTCCTAAGTTAGGCATTATAAATAACTTTACCCTTAGCACGAAGCATTATCGAATTCCAATCGTTGAATTTGATCCAGATTTACGTCAAATGTGTACTGAATTTTAGTTCTCGTTCCGTCCGTTGTGGGGCTGCTGTTCAAGCTGTCATACAAAATTTGACAATGACATTTCGCCCTAACAAACTATCCGAATCCCTATTGGTTCGCGCCAAGGGTACTGTACTTATAGAGTAAGATCCCAGGGCTCTAAGACCTTACTTATTTTCTGATTGACAGTTGAGTATTGGCCGACAACCAGTGTTGCCAGATCCTCTCTATATCTCTCTAAAGATTTTTTTTCAAGAAAAATATCCACGCCGGTCAGGCAGCAGACGGGACTCGAACCCGCACCCTTCGCTATTCGGCCAAATGCACTGATTATTATGCTGTCGCGGCTGATGGCCGTGTCAAATTTTCTCTAGTCTTTTTTAAGCTGCAAGGCAGCGCCATCTTTTCGCAACGTAGATAACCCACAATGTCAAACGAACACCTTTACAAGTATTAAACATTTGAAAGAAGAAATAGCAATTATAGTTATATTTTTAAGCATTTTACTGCTAGAAGTCTAAATCTAAAGAAAAATTACTAGAAATAAATTCCACGCGGTGCAGGCAGCAGACGGAACTCTACTTGTAAACTGTGTGTTAGAACTAAGAACTAGCTAGATCTTTATGTTTTTCTTTCAATAATTAAATATAAACTGTACTCACTAACTTTACCTGTATCTTGTCTATCTTAAAAATAAGTAAGATCTGGCGGGCTCGGGGTCTTGGATTATATCTAATTTTATTATGAGTTTGTACGAACGATATTAAATACCCTAGATACAACATCACGAACAAAATCATGGTCGAAACCTGTCCAAAAGGTACATTGGACGATCCACGGAGCTCCGTAAGATGATCGCGTAGTCAAAAACAATATAAGGCATATAAGGCATTGAAAGTCACCTTTAATGCATACTGTATTAGGTCTTAATTAAAACGCATGCGTCAAAGAGTTATGACAGTTCGAAATGCAAGCTCGTAAAATTTTACGACTACTTGCTATATGCGGAAGAATATAGACCTTATTTGTTTGACTCTACGCGCAATTTCGGATGCGCTGTTAGCAATATAGCAGGTACGGACTGCGAGGAAAAGAGACGGCTATATAACCGACCATGCATTTGAATATCAGAAATAATTTCTTATTAAATCAGTTTATAGTAAGTATTACAACAAAATTTGCTTCAAATGCGTTAAATTAACAAACATTGATTAGATACCTGTCGAAAATAATACCTATAGAGTCTGTGCGGAAAGAGAATGGGATTTAGATTGGAGGGCGCTGTAGTGCTTTTCTACCGTATTTCTAAGGTTTTACCCCTTTTAGACATGATTAAATACAAAAAACCGCAAGAAATCACAACAACAAACAAATCCGTATGAATACAAAACTTTGACGTTTTACAGATTGCTGGGTATCACCAAATAAAAATCTTAATGTTAGTTCCGTTTTTCGCCACGCCCATTCTTTCCGCACAGACTTTAGTAATAGGTATTATTTTCGCATTTGCTCACGGAGCTCTGCGGCATCTAGGCTTTTCAACGGTCCGCGCGTGACTGCGAACCAAGAAGTGCTTGAGTGGAGTTCAAGCACTTCTTGATTGGGACACATTTTGAGTGCACGTGGTGTATCTAGGGTATTTAATATCGTTGCTTTGTACTTACTATTTTCTTCGTCAACTTCTTCTTTCACATCTTGGTACGATAATGGTGAAATTACCGAGACAGCATTTTGTCTTGTGTCACTGGCATCATTGTTCTTTCCTTTGACCCCAATTGTGGTATTCGATGTTATTGCTGGTACTGAAATAAAAAATCATTTATTGAGTTTAAGTTGTTCCAAGCACTCATTAAATGTCTAGAAGCTAAGCCATCGGTTCGTAAATCTACGGCGGGAGACCTTGTACTGAGAAGAACCGGCAAGAAACTCAGCAAGGGCTGTCTTTTTTTATGTGTAACATCTTTCCTCTCGCTTTCCTGCAATTGTGTAACAGGAAGTCGCGAAAGCGCGCGCTAATTGATTTGATTTTAGAACATTATGTTCAAATGGCTTATTCCTTTTGTAGTAGGTTTTTTTTTGTTACTAATATAAGATGAGGTTTCAAATGTTACACATCATACGCGACTACTGTAAGGCTCGCTCGTTTCTTTTAATGTTTATAATTTGGACTACAATCATTTAATGCAAAATCTTATTTTTATATTCTAACCGGGACATAGCTAGACAGTTGAAATATTCACAGATAATGTATTTCTGGTGGTGTTATAACAAGAATCGTCATCATCATCAGCCTATTAATTTCCCCACTGCTGGGGCACAGGCCTTCCCTATGGATGGAATAGGAAAAATGGGCCATGACCCACCACGCGGGCCCAGTGCGGATTGGCGGGTGCTAACGACTGCAGATGCAGCCGGCTTCACGTGCCTTCCGAAGCACTGAGGAAGATTCGAGATAGAAGATTTTTGGTCACCCATCCAATGACCGGCCACTGGGAAAGTTGCTTAACTTTAACGATCGCAGCCGAACGCGCTAACCACCTGCACCTCCTCATCGAGGTATGTAGGAACTTATAATCAACTAGCGGTCGCCCGCGACTTCGTACGCGTGGAGTTAGTTAGAAATAAAGGTTCACTGCTCGTTCCCCGTAGGTGACAGCGTAATAATATGTAGCCTATATGTTCACCAGACTTCTTAACAATATTCGACCCAAATTTGAAGTAAATCCACGCAGTACTTTTTGAGTTTATCCCCGGACATACATACAGACAACAATTTTAAAAATCATATTTTTGGCTTCGGTATCGATTGTAGACCACGCCTCAAGTATAAATAATAATAATAAAAAAAAACTTTTATTTCCTTGGTACAATTTGACAAAAAAATACATTTACTTTCTAAATTACTTAATATCTCTCTTGTTTACTGACTAATATTGCTTATCTAAAATTTATTAACATTAGTTAATATATATTAAGACAGAATTACTTAATTACTATTTAATAACCGTAAGGAACCCCTCTCAGGTAAAGGCCTCTTCCAAAGATAGCCACTTTTCTCTGTCTTCTTTTAAAAAAATATTCAATGTACAGTTTTGATTTTCCTACCATTTTATTATATGTAAGTATAGATATCTCTTACTAATTTCACTTCAATCAATCAGTTGCTTACCATCGTCGCGTTCAACTTCTTCTTTAACATCTGGCTCCAATAAAAGTGAAATTATCAACTGCCTATTTTGTCTAATGCCACTGGGATCATTGTTCATTGCTTCGACCCCAACTTTAGTGTTCGCTGTTACTGCTGGTACTAAAATAAATATAACAATAAGGCATTTGACAAGACTTAGAAAATGTTTGTAATTATTATTAATCTTTAAAACGTGAAACACACACAAAGGCACACACACACCACATACTTACACACACAGACATACGCGCACACACATTCACACGCACACACACACGCATTCACACGCACACAAAATGTATGTATTTATTTGTTTCTTAGGTTTTCACGCACATCACTCATTAAATAAAACTAGTTTTTACGGGTAAATGCACGAAACTTTATTTATTTATTGACGTTTCGTAACCTTTACAGGCTACGTCGTCGGAATCAAACTTTTATTTAATAATACTTATATTTAATAAAATAAAAGTAGCCTTTACGGCTACGAAACGTCAATAAATAAATAAAGTTTCGTGCATTATCCCGTAAAAACTAGTTTTATGTATGTATTTATATAAATGTATTCTGTAAATGAACTCCGCTGTCCTATTTAGTCACATTTATTTAATGTATATCAAAATCCTTCCCCCACAGGCCAGGCTAAGCCTAGTGTGGGGGCTAGAAATCTGTAAAATTGTTGTGAAATTTGGAAATAAATCATTATTATTATTAATAATATAAAGCCGGGTCTCCAGCAAAAGTGTTTTGAAAACATGCAACAAAAACACACACTCAAAACTTTGTTTTTGAAACATATTTCTCTGCAAATGCCGTCTACTACTCACGTGGCTCTCGTACACACAATACAGAAAGTATATATTTTGCGAGGTAGGCAAATGACTCTACCCCACCTGATGTTAAGTGGTGATAAAGTGCAAACGCGAAGATAGCTGGTACAGCAGTTATAAACTGCCACACCAACCATCCTCACCTTGCCGGCCTGCAAAAATACTTCTTCACGCCTCTCTTAAAGGACCCCAGATTATAGGAAGGAGGGAACACTTGCGCGGGTAAAGAATTCCACTTACGAATAGTATGACAAAGAAATGAGTCACCAAATTTCTTTGTTCGTGTAGGAATAGTGGCCACAGTAAGTCGGTGGCAACGTAGGCCAGCGCGCTACTCAAGGCTACCTTCAAAAACTACGATACAGGTGCAACAAATGTAAAATTTGACAAAAGTTTCGTACATTTTGGGTGTGTTCCGAAACTTAAGCCAGTACGCTGGCCAGCGGTAATGACGTCAAGATTTCACTGGTGTGCCGCCATATTATGCTGGTGAGAATATTGTGACGTATAATAGCTGGGTGTATACGCTCTGCAGTTAGTAAAGGTCTTTTTTGTATTAATTTGATAATAATGGAATCTCAACAAACAGAAAAATTAGTTTTGATCGATGAAGGGAATAACAAGATTTACACACTTTATTATAATTTATTATAATTTTTGGAGCATGAACGTTGCACACAAACACGAGACTGCTTGAATATTGCGCCAGTTCATGACGTTACCGCGCTGATCAGTGTATTTGGAAATTTTGGAACGAATCAACAGCATGGCGTCGATTCTTGACGTCATTAGCACTGGCCAGTATACTGGTTTATATTACGGAACACACCCTTTATGTCGAAATTGAAACGTCAGAATGAAAACTTGTACTCGGAGCGTAGGTTTGGAATGGAGCCCCCGCTAGCGAGTTGTCAAAAAAATGGACGATCAGACCATGGAGGTTAGAGAGAAGGAGAACGATCGCTGTAGAAAACAGTGTCTCAGAAATATGGACAAAATAAGTGAGGCGCTGCGATCGCTAAGTTGTCTCAATAAAAGCGGGCTATTTGAAATGACCAATGCCGCGAAGAAAATTTGTACACTATTCAACTAACTTCATTTACTTGTACTCATAAACAGCTAACTTCACAGATACTACTTACCGACGGCAGCGCGGCTGGTGGCTGAAAAATGAACTATAGATTCTACAAATTTTCAGGGACAGCCGGGATAATGCTTTAGTATAATGCGATTCAAATAAGAATAGGAAAGTCAATGACCTCCATCTGTCAAATGTCGCTTGAAAAGTACGGTTTGCAAAAAAATCTCGGAACACTTTTTTAGCACTCAGCAAAACCAAACATTTTTTAAACAAACAATAACAAATATTGATAATTAATTTTAGTTTTTTTTTTCATTTATTGAGCTTTGGCTATGAATGGTTGATAACCTAAATGATCAACCAGATGTCACTTTATGTTGCGTTCAAAAACTCGATTTAAAACTTTCATTTACACATAGGATGCATGTTCGTATGTGACCTGCATGATTATTTCTAACTTCTCCGGCGGTAACGCAGAGATGAGCGCAATTGAAGAGCTAGATTCTGATTAATGTTTTTTTTCACACAGTCTTAATAAAGAAATACTATTAAAAATCGGTTGTTCTTTCTCAACCTTAGTAAATTAATTTTATTAAAAAATCTGATGTTTTGTCTCACTTAATCTTAGTAAATAAGTTTTATTAAATAGGTTGCTATTTTTTTGCTCACTCTACCTATTTGGTTTGAATTGACAGCTATGACGTCACAAAATGGCGCCCAATCGGTCCTATTCTTGGTTGAATCGCATTATACGTAGCGATCGTTCCCCTTCTCTCTAACCTCCATGAATGAGACAATACCCTGCCCCTCGACCCGCGCGGGGGGATTTATGTACGTGTTATCCATCGGGCTAGCAAAAGATTGTTCATCATCATCAGCCTATTAATGTCCCCACTGCTGGGGCATAGGCCTTCCCTTTGGATGGAATAGGGAGATTGGGATAGACCCACCACGCGGGCCCCGTACGGATTGGTGGGTGCTAACGACTGCAGATGCAGCCGGGACCAACGGCTTAACGTGCCTTCCGAAGCACGGAGGAACTCGAGATAGTAAATTTTTGGTCACCCATCCAATGACCGACCACTGCGAAAGTTGCTTAACTTCAACGATCGCAGCCGAACGCGCTAACCACTTGCGCCATCGAGCTCCTCAAAAAAAAAAAGATTGTTAATGCAAACAAAATGTGTAGTGAAACAAAGTTTTGTGTAATTTTTTTTGTTGAACGTTGATAAGTTTTTGTTGATTGTTTAGAACAAAACATGCGCTGGAGACCCGGCTTTATTGTATAGTGACTCCATAATGAGTGGAGTACACTAAAGCCTGTGCACTAGACTTGCAACGAATAGTATATTCGGCAGTATATCGAATATTCGGCGTAGCCCCTGACCGAATAGTAATATTCGGCTGGATTTTAGCGCCAAAAACTTGTATAGACGTGATTGTTTCGCGCTCCTTTGTTTTGTTCTAATCTGTCGTCCTCCAATGATGACAAAACCAACTTTTAAGATATGGCAAAAACGGCGCGTAAACTTTAAATTATTGCTAATAAGTAACCATTCATCACATGACTGAATGAATTAAAACTGTTAACTTCTTAAATACAGAAAATGATTAAATTATGTACCTGTTTTATGTACAAATGACTACTTAATAAATGATTATAAAAGAAATGAGAACCTTACCCTTTTAAATTTTGATTAGGTACCACAATAATTGAAATGCAGAATCCTCCATTTTTCTAATTCAGAAGATGATTATGTACCCGTGTTATGTACCAATGACTACTTAAATGATTATTTAACAGAAATGAAAATATGAATATATACGTAATCAATCGATTTTAATTTTTAATTTTACTAATTAATTCTCTATGACAAAATATATTATTTAAGTATTCGGTATTCGGCCGAATATAATAAATGCAGCCGAATATGCCGAATACCGAATATTCGTTGCAAGTCTACTGTGCACACTATTTTTTTTGTCAGAATAGTGGAATAGCTCCCAATAAACATGTTAAATAACAATACATGGCAAAATTAGTACTTTATTCTTCACACTTTCAAATAGGCGAGCAAAATCACCGACAATCATACAACCATAAGAATAAACCTGTAACTTACCATTGTCTTCTTCCACTTCTTCTTCTTCAAATTCTTCTTCTAATTTCACTTCTATTTCTTCAACTTCTTCTTTCACATGTGGCTCCGATAAAGGTGTTCTTTCACATTCGGCTCCGAAATTATTTAGTCCAGTGTCACTGGAATCATTGGCCATTGTGTTTTTCGATGTTACTGCTGTTGCTATAAATTTTAATCTGATAATAGTTAGATCACCAAAACTACAAATGGCAGGCTAGAATGATAAATCGTCGTCCTTATTTATATTATCATCATCATCAGCCTATTAATGTCCCCACTGCTGAAGCATATGCCTTCCCTTTGTATGGTATGACCCACTACGCGGGCCTATTGCGGATTGGTGGGTGCTAACGACTGCAGATGCAGCCGGGGCCGACGGCTTAACGTACCTTCCGAAGCAAGGAGGAGCTCGAGATAGTAAATTTTTGGTCACCCATCCAATGACCAACCACTGCGAAAGTTGCTTAACTTCAAAGATCGCAGCCGAACGCCTTACTCTATATTATATGGGGCACAAAATATATAGTACAGAAGGTAAGGGGGGAGGGGGGGTCCTGTTTTCAATTTTGAATCTTTCGGTGTCCACCCGTAGTTAAAAAAAAATGGTTAATTATGTTTATTAATATGGCGTTTGATGCGTGAACCCAAAAATGCATACATTACCTTCATTTACAAGTAAAAAATATTATTAAGGTGAAAAGGACTTTGGGCAAAAATGTATGGACGCTGCACCCACGTCCGCCACGGCTTAAACTACATTTGTTTGAAAGGTATTATAGTCAAGATCATCTGTGTCAAAGCGCATCAAATTCCATCCCGGGGGTCTTTAGTTATTTTAAGTTAAATGTGTACAAGTACTATAACGAACGAACATTAATGAAACAAGGGAATTAATTTAGTTAGTTCGACTCTACATAGGGTGCTCAAGAATTATGGGAGTACTTCACAAGGTGCAAGGGTGCCCCTTATGTTATTCTGCCGCGCTAGAGTAAATCCAAACATCCCCGCATGGGTTGGGTTTTTTTAAACATTCTGTTCTTGATAGTAAATTGTCCGTTTTACATAGAAGATATGTAAAACGGAGCGACCACAGATTACACAAACTTGTCCACGCTTCGGAGAACATATAATTCCAGTTCTTCCATACTAATTGACAAAACCGATAATCGTGTTCCAATATCTAAAGCGTGTTAGATAAAAATCAACTAAGTAACAGGGAGCGCACAATCACAACGAAGTAAGACGAGTCGACTATTTGCAACTGCAAGTCCTTCATCATCCGTAAACCGTTTTGAAATGTCTCAGTAACAGCAAGCGCAGGATGGTTTTTACGGTGTCATATATTTTGACTCCCAGGATATTTATTTTCGGTGTCATAATAAAAAAGGCTAGTTTTTCATAGATCTATCGATTCATACTAATTACATTGTTGGCGGAGCTGGGTGCGTTTTGCCCATTGTCCTTTACGTTGAGGATATTGACTATGTGATGGAAACCAAAGCCTCTCTCCCCTCCAAAGGATGGGTTTGACGGTTGCGTATACATTCCCTAAGCTACATACAGACGCAAACAGGCACGATATCTCGGAACTAATCATTATAAGATAATATAATATAAGACCCCTCCTTCCTACAATCTGTGGTCCTTTAAGAGAGGCGTTAAGCATTTTTGCAGGCCGGCAAGGTGAGGGTTGTTGGTGTGGCAATATATTACTGCTGTACCAGCTATCTTCACGTTTGGACTCTATCACCACTTAACATCAGGTGGGGTAGAGTCATTTGCTTACCTGGCTATAAAAAAAAAGACACTGTTGCTACATTTAAAAAACGGTAGAAGGAACTGTATCTATCCTCTTGAACTACTGTTTCTTAACTTTATTGCTTCTCCTTTTTAATACTTATAAATTTTATTTAAGTATATATGATTTTTTGTATATAGTAATAATAATAAAAACTTTATTTCTTCATACCATTTTATACAAAAAAAATTCAGTGATCGGAGTTCCCTGTTAAGCTAAAAGGCCTGTGTCAGGGGGCTCTTCCATATGCAGTTTATTTTTACTTGCTAATTAGACAATATTTAAGAATGTTCATGTAGCCGGTGTATGTGTGCGTGCGTGCATGTGTATGTGTGTGCGCATTCGTGTGTTTGTGTGTGCGCGTGCGTGTGTTTGTGTGTATGCGTGCGTGTGTATGTGTGTGTTGTGTGTTATGTATATATATGTAGGTTTTGTATATGTATGCATTGTATCTAATGTATTTTGTTATTTATATTCAAGAGGCACACACTGACTGCCTTTTTTATGCTCTTTCCTATCACAGGCCAATTTGAAAGAAATAGTGCCCTTGCCCAAACTTGTTTCTGTTTTTCTAGTCTGCTATATTGTGCGTGTACTAAATTGTTAAATAAATAAATAATTCATCTAAACATACAAATAAAATTGGAGTGTCTGTTTGTAATATTGAAATAACATATTTTTACTACATGTATGTACAATACACCAAAATAACATTTTTTACATTTTTTTTCTGTCTGCCTGTTTGTGCCGGTTAATCTCTGTAATGGCTGGACCGATTTTGACGGGACTTTTATTGGGAGGTAGCTGATGTAATAAGGAGTAACTTAGGATACTTTTATTTTAGAAAAAAAAAAAGTTAACGCTGACGAAGTCGCGGGGTGCCGCTAGTAAATATTATAATTATAGAGTTATATTTATAACTAGCTGTGCCCCGCGGTGTTACCCGCGCTTTATTAGGGATATTTTCTCGCTGTAAGACGTAGCCTATGTGTTAATCCAGGGTGTCAGCTAACTCCATACCAAATTTTATTAAAATCGCTCCATTCGTTTAGACGTGAAGAAGTAACAAACATACACACTCACATACTTTCGCCTTTATAATATAAGTGTGATGAGTTTGTACTTACCATTTCCTGCTTCAACTTCTTTCACATTTGGATTTGGTACTAAAGGTGGAATTATTAAGTGGAAATTCCTAGAATCATTGTTCATTCCTAAAGCCCTCGCTGTGGTGTTCGAAGCCACCGCTGGTACTGCAATAAATGTAATATGAGTTAGACCATCAAAGATACAGGTAGTACGAAACAAGGAAAAACTTTTCTTTTTAATTCTCACACTAATTAACCTAGTCCCAAAGTAAGCACTGTAAAGCTTGTGTTTTGGGATACTAAGGTAACGGATAGAATACATATACAGTGCATATTTAAGTTTATCTATATATAAATACATATTAAACATCCATGACTGGAGTACAAATACTCGTATTCATCACACAAACATCTGCCCCCACCGGGATTCGAACCCGGGACCTCTCGAGTCGGCGACATCATGCAACCCGGCGATCAAATCACTCGACCACGGAGGTCGTAACTAATAAATTAATAAATCATTCATTTGACCCATATATTATAGACAACTAGCTGGCCCAGCGAACTTCGTACCGCCATAGAAAAATTGGAGTTGGTGATAGAAGGGCGAAAATTTAGGGTTGTATGTATTTTTGTATGATGTATCATTTAAAAAAAAACAAGAAATTTTGTCCAAAAAATAATTTTAGGGTGAACCACCCTTAACATTTATGCGGATGAAAAATAGATGTTGTCCGATTCTCAGACCTACTGAATATGCATATAAAATTTCACGAAAATCGTACGAGCCGTTTCGGAGTAGTTCAATTACGCATACCGTGACACGAGAATTTTATATATAAGAAGAATATTACAATTTTTTTAGAACTAAAGTATTCTCTAGTTATCACTAATTCATTACATTAATTAGCTCAATTTTTACTTTTATTAACCTGATCAATGTAGTTAAGATTTGTTGCTGAAAGTATTTAAACAACTTGGAATTACGAACTTCAAAGTACTTCGAACTTAGTGACAATCCAGTCATCATCATCAGCCTATTAATGTCCCCACTGCTGGGGCACAGGCCTTCCCTATAGATGGAAAAGGGAGATTGGGCCATGAGCCACCACTAGGGCCCAGTGCGGATAGGAGGGTGCTAACGACTGCCTATGCAGCCGGGACCAATGGCTTAACGTGCCTTCCGAAGGACGGAGGAGCTCGAGATAGTAAATTTTTGGTCACCCATCCTATGACCGACCACTGCGAAAGTTGCTTAACTTCAACAAGCAGCAGCCGCAACCGAACGCGCTAACCCCTTGCGCCATCGAGCTCCTCACAACCCAGTAATCCACTCCATATTTACACTAGTATGCACTTTTTAAAATAATAATATCATCCACAATAGATTACTTTAGTAACAAACAATAGATGTTTTAGGATGCTAATTGCAGATTTATAGAGCTAAGAATTCCATAAAATAGTGTTTAAATTTTTGCCCTAAGACAAATATTGTCTAAGTTATGACCAAATTTCTAAACAAATTTTGGGCTGGCCGCGTGGTGACTGTGATGACACATAGCTCTAGCGCTCGGGCGCGAGCGTGTGTAGAGACGCTACTTATGTTCGACCGGAGCCACGGTAATATTATCTATACAGTATTGTGACTCGGCCCTGTCCTTGAAATAACTGCCTACGGCCGAGTGGGGCGTATTTACGCGGTAGGGCTTCCCGCCTACAGTATTTATCTACATAATTGAGTTCCTTTCTAGTTCCAAAAATGTTGTGAATGAATAAGGAAGTGTTAACATTAAAAGACATAAGTGTAAGAATAAAGTGTAAAAAATATAGATTTAAGACAGAAAAATATTTACGCCTCGACTGAGACGTACGAAAAGCTTTATTATTAAATTTAATAAATACGCATTCGTATAAAAAGTTTAACTATTGTACAGAACAGCCGCCGCCCATAGTTTAATAATCGATATAATGTGTTGTAAATAGTAGTCTTAGTTAGTTATAAGTGAAATGTAAAATAGTTATGTTATTTTGTTAATAAACGAGTTGCGCATAGTCATTTCACAATAGGTACACGATAGGTACACATACACAGTTACACAACGCTGTGCGAGAAAGCATTACAGTCTCCCTCGCACAACGCTATGATAGGCACACTGCCGCTATAGCATCGCGCAAAGTGCAAACAGAAATAACACTGTGAGAGACATTACAGGCTATCCCTCTTACTGCATGGCACTCCCTCAGCTGCAACACCACCGGAAGCCGCATTTACCAGGATGCCCTGGACCAGGACTATGAAGTGTCGGGCCCTTCCGAACCGACGAGACACGACCCTGCAGGCCGTGTGGATGACGTCTTGGACATCCTGGTCCACCGAGGGATATCTTCCATCATAGAACAGGAGGTGTCACGGACCTCCCATCCGACCATCGACCGGTGCTGTGTACACTACACAGCCTCCCCGCACGCACGATGCCACCACCACCACGAGTCCGCATCGATTGGGACACGTACCAGCGGACGGCAGCAACCCAAACCACGTCATGCCCCATTAACACCCCAGCAGATGTTGAGGCAGCAGCGGATGATCTGACAAAGACGATACGCGCCGCACTTTCTTCGGCTACAAGCACCCACTCCAGAAATGGAAGGATACCACCACTCCCGAGTAAGATCAAGGATCTCATAGCCGAGAAACGCGGAGCCCGGCGACTGTGGCAGGACACCCGCTGCCCCACTACTAAAGCCCGTCTAAACACCCTGACTACCAAAGTAAGACGAGCACTAGAAGACCACGCAGCCCAGAAATGGGACAACCACCTGCTTAGCGTGGGCGATGACATGCCCTCTGCTCACCGCTTATGCAAGCAGCTCACCAAAACCAAGTCGACACCACGTCCCCTCATCGGCACAGACGGCAACCCGCGCTATCGAGCGGAAGTCCGCGCCGAACTGCTGGCGGATCACCTGGCTCGCCTCTTCACGCCCAACGAGGCGACGGACAGCGAGCACGTCGAGACCGTGAGGTCTCACGTGATTAGCTGTACGTCGTCTTCACCAGCCGCAGACACAGACCCCATTTTCTTCACGCCCCGCCAGGTGCAACGGGAGATACTGAAGTCCAAACCCCGTAAGGCGCCTGGCCCGGACGAGATCACAAACGCCGCGCTCCGACACCTGCCACCGAAAACCGTAGCTGCCATCACCAGGCTGTACAACGGCATATGCCGCACGGGCCATTTCCCCACCTCTTGGAAGGAGGGTAGAGTGATTCTCATACCCAAGCCGGGGAAAAACCTGTCCCACCCCGAGAGCTACCGGCCAATCACTCTACTCCCCACTTTGTCGAAAGTATTCGAACGACTGCTACTGCCGAAGATGACGCCGCACCTGTACTGTGCTACTGTGTAATTAAAAAAAAAAAAAAAACAATCTAGATACACACATGCATCCACACGAAATGGAAAGACAGCCAACACCCTACACGACTATCCAGCCCCCCCCCCCCCACCTCATCACAAGTCCACCGCCTGCTCGCTGGTCGTTCACCGGGCCTCCCACATGGGTCTCACCCGGTGGGCTAGACCGCGCCGAGGGCGGTGGTGAAGACGGAGGGGGAGAGTGGAGGCAGCAGCGGATGATCTGACAAAGACGATACGCGCCGCACTTTCTTCGGCTACAAGCACCCACTCCAGAAATGGAAGGATACCACCACTCCCGAGTAAGATCAAGGATCTCATAGCCGAGAAACGCGGAGCCCGGCGACTGTGGCAGGACACCCGCTGCCCCACTACTAAAGCCCGTCTAAACACCCTGACTACCAAAGTAAGACGAGCACTAGAAGACCACGCAGCCCAGAAATGGGACAACCACCTGCTTAGCGTGGGCGATGACATGCCCTCTGCTCACCGCTTATGCAAGCAGCTCACCAAAACCAAGTCGACACCACGTCCCCTCATCGGCACAGACGGCAACCCGCGCTATCGAGCGGAAGTCCGCGCCGAACTGCTGGCGGATCACCTGGCTCGCCTCTTCACGCCCAACGAGGCGACGGACAGCGAGCACGTCGAGACCGTGAGGTCTCACGTGATTAGCTGTACGTCGTCTTCACCAGCCGCAGACACAGACCCCATTTTCTTCACGCCCCGCCAGGTGCAACGGGAGATACTGAAGTCCAAACCCCGTAAGGCGCCTGGCCCGGACGAGATCACAAACGCCGCGCTCCGACACCTGCCACCGAAAACCGTAGCTGCCATCACCAGGCTGTACAACGGCATATGCCGCACGGGCCATTTCCCCACCTCTTGGAAGGAGGGTAGAGTGATTCTCATACCCAAGCCGGGGAAAAACCTGTCCCACCCCGAGAGCTACCGGCCAATCACTCTACTCCCCACTTTGTCGAAAGTATTCGAACGACTGCTACTGCCGAAGATGACGCCGCACCTGTACCCCCGTCCGGAGCAATTCGGATTCCGCGCCGGCCACTCCACCACGCTCCAGCTCACTCGAGTGCTCCACTACCTCGCCACCTGTTTCAACAAACGAGAGTACACAGCGCTCGTGATGTTGGACATGGAGAAGGCTTTTGACAGGGTGTGGCACGAGGGGCTGCTATTCAAGCTGTCCAAGTCAACCCTGCCGCTCCGAATACTGATGATCCTCAAATCCTTCCTCACAAACCGCACCATCCACGCGGCAGTCGAGGGAGTATACTCCACCCCACGACTCGTTCAAGCGGGCGTTCCCCAGGGCAGCTGCCTGTCGCCCCACCTATATGCGGCCTACACGGACGACGTCCCCGTCCAAGGGGCCACCAAATTAGCGCTTTATGCGGATGACACGGCCTTTTACGCATCTTCCATCCGCCCCGCCCACGCAGCTGCAAAATTACAATACCATAATTACCGGCCTCCACCGTGAAAACCCGCCTCCATTAAAATTCCTAGGTGAAGCAGTATCCTGGGCCCCACATGCCAAATACCTAGGAGTTACCATAGACCGCCGCCTTACTCTCAACAAGCACGTGAGCAATATTATAGCACAGACGAAAGGAGCCCGCTCACAACTCAAATTCGTATTATCCAGCCGCTTACCTCTCAAAACGAAAGTAAGTATATATAAAATGTACATTCGACCCTTACTAACATACGCGGCGCCCGCTTGGT